CCCCGCAAGACAAGGGTTGTCCTGCAACGCCTGCCAAGGGTTCGCACCCGAGTAACCGATAATAGTGGCAATGGCTGAGACGGCCGAAGCAGCATCACTTTGCCAATTGCCCCCGCAAAGCCAAAGGGCCTCCAGGCTGGAAGAGCGCTCCGCCCAGATCCATCCTAGGTGCCTCACAACTTCGGCAAGTCGTGTTTCTTCAGCAGAGGCGATGCCTAAGATATTGCAAAGCATCTCGTTGGTGGCGCCCCGGACCGAAAGGCCAGTGATGTGCCGGAACACTCGCCTGGGGACCTCATAATACGCCGCGGTGTATCGGGCATCCTCCTTGGCTCCGTCCAGGACCCATAACCCAGACCCATGTTTGAAGGTAGCCATTGGGATACTGCACAAGATATGCACACGCTCTTCCCAAGTGAGCGCTTCGTTCCTAAAAAGTCGCTTGAGTCCCGGCATCTTATCATGAGCCAGGCGGGCTCGTCTGGATATGTCTGGCAGGTCAGCACAAGAGGAGTCAATGACAGCCCCTAGGTGCACATAGGAATCCGTCAGAGCAACAAATTCCTGCCTGTCTGGGAGGAGCTGTACCGCAAACTGCGCTCCCTGCCGACAAAACCACTGCTGGCGAAGTTTGCGACTGCCACGTCCTTGCACCAGTGGCAACAGCTCGGTCTTGCCCCTATCCAGGTTCAAAGACACTGCCAGCTGTCGAAGCTCGCAATCTAACTTACGGACCGTGGTCGTAGCAAGCTCGATGAGGGCTTCTGGCGACGCAGCCAGCAGAGGGAGGGCCAGATCATCCATCCAGCTCGGTGCCGGCAGGTGACACAGGGCAGTGTCCGTGGCGCTATGGTGTACCTGTTTTTGCACGACCTCGGCCGCCTCCTGGACATGCTTTTCCAACCGGGCCATAGCTCGCGAGAAAAGGATTTGGAAAAGCACATCCGCGGTGGGTGACCCCGGTGCCGTTCCTGTCCGCGTGAGGAACAAATGAGTAGAGCACTCATCGCTGACCGTGAACCAGGTCTCTTGCAACATTGAGGTGATGAGCCTCCTGACTGCTGGGTCAACCCCACAGCTGGCCAGGATGCCAGGCCCTGTCGCAGCCAGAGTGAAGGCAAAACGCTCCTCCGCGTCCTCAAAAAGCAGGTCCCCCAGCTGGCAAAGCGACTCAGAAGAATCGCCGGCCTCTCGGCCTGTCAAAAGCTGTCTGGCCACAGCATAGAAGGCATTGCGCGCATCGACAAAGAGCAGCCCAGCCGAAACGCCAGCAGCTTTGGCCCCCCTCGCAAAACCCCTGGCAGCCGCCATCGGTGCTTGTAAGGGGTTACCGGGGCGCGAGCCCCCCTGTCCCTGAGTGCGGACACGCTCAAGGCAGGCCAAAAGCGGTGGCCGAAGAAGCTTGCACACCCCCTTCATGGATGCCTCGTGAAGGAGTACGCTGCGCCATCCCTCTTTGGATGCCAAAGGCTTTCCCGGTTTTGGAATGGGCGCTGCGCGCCCGCCGCGCCACAAGGCCGGGGCCGCACCCTGCAACTGCACTTTAAGGAGTAAAGGGCCGTGGACAGAAGCAGCCCCCAAAGCATCCCCAGCATACGCTTCACAAGGGAGTCCGGTCACTCCAGGCGCCCGCCCAGTCTGTAGGCCAGCATACGCCTGCGCCAACTGTGGAACGCTAAGGGCACTAGACACCTCAAGCGGGCCTTCAGGCAACGGGATGGATGCAGTGGTGAGGTTTTCCAAAGAGACAGCCTCAGCACGTTCAGCTTTTGCAAAGTGCATGCCCAAAGCAAGCGTGGAGTCAACAGCACCTTCAGGGGTCCTGGCCAGGGCTGGCTTCAAGGCAGGCGGCTTGTACCTCCGGCCTTGTCGCATGGTCTGCCTTATGACTCTATAGAGCTCCTCCGGACCTCTTTGGCGAGCTGTATTCAGCGTGTCTCTGGCTGCCTGGGCAACATCGGCCTTGCTGTGCCGCGCAATGAGCCGAGAGACAGCTCGTATCTGCAGGCCCAAAAAACCTTCATATAGACGCGCAAGATGAATGTCCGGCACAGGCAGACCCCTTTGCTGACGCGACCCCCGCCAAGCCCAAAAGAAACGCGCCAGAAATATGCGGCCACACGCCATGCGCTGCGAAAAAAGCTGCTTGCGCAGACGACGCCGCATATGGACCAAAGTCCAGGTTTTATCCCGGATGACCTTGGACCGTGCCGCAGCAGGCCGGCAAGGGAACGCCCTGCTCAATCCGTCATGAAGGTGCTGATTGATCAACTTGAGGTGCGTGTCAACATCAACATCCCACCCGATGGTGGGCGCAGAGTCATAGATAGCACGAAGCCGAGCCCGCCCTTCGACGGTTGTCATGGCCTTGGTATCCCAGCGCGGACGCCGCCTGGGAAGAGCACCAGCTTGACACCATGCAACCGATACCTTGACAGGTTTGTGATCGTGCTCGCAGTGCCCACTAAACCAGCTAAGATCACCCTGGGTTCGCATGCCAACGGCAGTCGACGCAGGAACGACAACATAGTCAAGACAGCGCGGACGACCCATAGGGCCCAGCCAGCTTTCAACTTTTTTGCCAGCGGCCGTCACATTTGGGGAAGCGGACAGACAATGCTCCCGTAAGAAGCCAGCAAATTCCTTGGCATTGGCATTCAGGGCCTTTTCCAAATCAGGAGGCTGAGTGCTCCACTCAAAATGAGCATTGGCATCAATCAGAATGATGAGAGCATGCTGCGAAGGGACACGGCTCACTAATGTGCTAAGTTGCTGCCACCACTCCCTAATGGCAACAGGCCCGGCATGCGCCGTAAGAGCGTGTGCCACCAGGAAAGCAAACTTAAGGCCAGCTGCCGAAGCTGTGGCCAACAAGTGTCGCGGAGCAGCTGACAAAATAGAGAAGCTCGAGGGATTCCAGTAAACGGGCTCGCGCCCAGCAAATCCAACCGGGCAATGCCGCGCAAGCCACAGCTGACACCCAAGTTGTCCACCCTCCGAGGGGCCGCTGAGAATGTGAAAATTGGCTGAGGCAGAGCGAGGTAAAGGATCCGCGCGTGTTTCTTGCAACCCGACGACACACAGTGAATCCGTGTGGAACTGAAAATCAAGATTTTCCCGCTGCAAAACAGAGGCGCAGGTAAGGCAATTGTAAGTCGCCAGCGCACAGCTGACCTCAACCTCCGCCTGGGCACACTCTTGTCGAAAGTCAGCACAAGCAGCCAAGCAGAGTCCCCGTTGCGGGGCAACAGTCGCCTTCAAGACTCCAGTTTCACTAGGACGCGGCACGGAGGGGCACATAGAGCAGGCAACCCACAACCATGGCAACACATTCTGCATCTGAGCAACGTGCAAACAATCCGGTGCGGTGGGGGAAGTCCCCAGGCGTGCAGCACGCTTAGCCAGGTAATCAACCGTTTCATTAAGCGGATGACCTTTATGAGATGGAATGTGCAGGGTTGCGGGCGCCCTGCCCTGAAGACGAAGCAAGTGCGACAGGGCTAGGGCAGCCGAAGCAAGACTGGAGCCAGACTTGGGGCAAGCATTGCCCAAGGCAACTTCCATAGCAGCCTGGTTATCATACCCAATCAGGGCAGGCACCTGCAGTCGAACGATCACTGCCAGGGCCACAACCACAGCAGCGAGCTCCGGCTCAAAGGAAGAAGAAACCGGAACCCCAAGAGTAGCTGCAGATCCAGAGATGGGCAACATGGTAGCAAAGCTGCCAGCCCAATTCCAGGCTCCGCTTTGGCGCACTAGAAGGCACAATGCAAACCCCGCTCGTGGTTCCTGCTGCTGTGTGCCCGGATAGTAAGCCCCGTCGGTGTAAATCTGAACTGCATCAAACGCGACCGAGCTCATAATCGGCAAACCTTGCAAGAAGCACCCGAGCTGGGGAGGCAAATCCGGCCCCTCCGGCAGTTGTCGCTCGAAAAGCTCGAGACCATAAGCCTCGAAGACAGTATCGAACATTTCCGCAGTGACCCCCAGACAAAGACCAGGACCTGGGGAGTCGCCCGATGCAGGGGCCGCCGCTGGCACGGCTTCCTCCAAGACGATGGACCGACGCGAAAGGGACCCCACACCTGACGCACAACTTAAGGCATTGCGACCAGTTGCCAGGGCAGAAGACACCGGCTGCAAAGTGCGTCGCCCTAACGGAGTCGGAATGCTCAAAGGTGGTTTAGACCCAGCAGGTCTGCCGGGTTCCAAGCTTTCATGCACGGATGAAGGAAGGCCCCGAATGCAGGGCTCATCAGGCGAAACACCCCACGCCCGAGCCGCCGCCTTGCAACGCCTCTCGAGCCTTGCCTGCTCAGCTGCGGTAGTGGTGATCTGCATCATTGAAGTTCCACTGCGCGGCACAACCCTCCCTGACGGGCTCAGAGTAGGGCGCTGCTGAGCTGGCGGGGGAGGTCGGACATGCTGCAAGATCGCCCGTCCCATGTGCGCCGGGACAGCCACCAACGAGATAATGTGGCCATGCATCCACCGGCCGGCTGGCCAAACTATACGGGATGTTGGCTCCAGCGGAAGCCACCCCAAGTTGTCCATCCGGTGATGCACCATAAGCACCACGTAGTGAGAACAGGATCGGACCGCCGTCTTAGGAAGAAGGACGGTGCGTGCATCAGAATTTGGAGCGACCGAAACAAACAAGGCCGAACCCGGCACAAGTTGCACAGTGTGTGCCAAAGAAAGACGCAACGAGTTATAATCCGGCAATCGGGTTAATTCAAGGCGCAGTTCGGCCACTGAAGGAACGCTTTCGTATTCAAGCCTAAACCTGACCGGGCCATGGGTGGGGCCCAAGATAGTGCACAGAGCCTCGGTCGGAAGCCAAACACGAAGACGCCTTCTTCGCTCGCGGATGCGAGCCACGAAACTGCCCTCGTTGTTGCGTGCGCGCGCCTCAATGGGCCATCCATAGGCCTCCAAGTTATGCAACTGGTCCATCACCTCAGATGCTGCAGTATGCAAAACTGTGGTGGCAACATGGCCTACCTGCAGGTAGTCTCCATGGCCGATAGGACGATCAACCAACTGCTCAGGCGCGCCATTGACCAAGGAGAAAAACCCATTCGACGCCACTCGCTACTGACAGCCTGGTCAACTGAAACACCCTCCGGAACCGCATCCGCTGCAATGTGACCACCCTGCATCCGGCTGTCGAAGACCGCATGGACCGCGGGGAAATCATTGTAGGGGATGACAAGGAACAGAACTTCCTGGAGGAAATCGGCAGGTGGAGGGTGTGCCTTGGCGAGGGTAATCGAAATGGGACCCGAAGGAATGCAGCCAGCAGCGGCAAGCTCGTGCAGCATAGCTTCGACATACAAGTCAAGCTGTACACAGGGCCGTAACACATCCCGCCATGCCTCAAATCCCCGGTACAGTAGCCTGAGACGAAAGGTGGTCGGCTGGGTGGTGGTAGTGGTGCTGGACACAGAAGCCAGCCCCGGTATGCCGTACCCCTGGAAGAGGCCGGCTGCGCCACCATCTAATGCATCCATCTCGAACGTGGGGAAGACACCCCCCGCGCCGTGTCTTGTTTCAATGCGCAGGAATTGGACTTCGGTGAGGTCCAACGGCAAGGCAGAGTCGATGACCCCAGCAACGTCCAAGATCACGAAAAAACCACTCTGGACCATGACCTCAAAACGCCCGGCCATCGGCTGAACCCGCTGGTAGGCTTGGGCTGCAGGCAAGAGCCCCTCGCCCGGCTGGTGTGCAACCGTACGGATGGGAAGGCCCGCATTACGCCCATCCCACGGCACCGCCAACGCATTCAAACCATCATTATCGTACGTCAGCACGACCTGTGGCAAAGGGTAGCCAGCGACTGGTGCCGTCAGAAACTGAATGGAGCGAACATGCTGGGGCGCCGTTGCCGCCGCCCTGCGTGCGAAGTCCACGACGGAGATCGCTCCATCTGCAGTTATCACCGTACAATGGCGCACAGTATCAAAAACTGTGAACAAATGGCGGGTCTCAGGCTCCGCAGCACCCCAAGACTTAAGACTAACCCGGTCATCCCTGAAGGCACGGAATGTCGTGGGCTGCAAGTGCCAGTCAGAAGAGCACTGTTTCGGCCGAGCTCCACGGTCCGGCTCAAGTCGTAGCAAGGTGGGTGGATCCCGATCATCAGGCAGATCAGGCGCGGGAAGACGATGGGGCTCAGTCAACGTGACCTCAGCATCGTGCCAGCAGGTATCCACGCACAGTTCAAAGGCCCCAGTAGTAGTGACAGTGGTGACCGAACGGTCCAGGAAAGGCGGGGCAACAGGCCGGAGCTCCAACCACTGCAGGCACCTGGGGTCGGCCGGAAGAGCCTCGACCAAAAGTCCTTGCGAGTCCACAAAATGGCAATGCTGTGAACCCCCTAAGCCATCGAAGAAGTCCCGGCTGCCCGGCAATTCAGCATCAATGGCCGCCACAATGTCCTCGAATCTAGAACCCGGTCGAAGCATGACAGGCACAACTTCTCCGCCTGGGCCGGCGCGCATGTCAATGGGCAGCAGCACAGCGGTAACATCGTCGGCTTCAGCAGTAACGACAATCTGTGGTTGCAAAAGGCCGGGGATGTTAGTGGCCAGCACTTGAACACATCTGACCGAACCATTTATGTCCATGGCAGCATGGTCACAAAAGTCCATTAAAGTCCACCGGCTCTGTCCCATTCGGCGTAAGGGATGAAAGCCGCGCAACAAGAGATGGTAGGGGGCAGCACTAGCACCCTCTCTTCTGAAGTGAGGAAAAAGTCCCAAAGAAGAGGCCGGCAGGTGGGCCGCTGGCGCAACGAGAATTCTCCTAGGGATCACCTCCGCTCCTTCAAGGTATCTCGGGCGTCGAACTGGCCTGGTCAGCAACTCCTCATCGAAAAGGCTGGTGGTGGTGGTGGTGAGCTCCAAATCAGTTGCCAGTGCCCCCCCATCTGCAACCGGAAGGCGAACCCGGAAAAACTGTACCTCCTCAAGCGCCCTAGGCAGTGCCGGCCGCAAAGCGCCGATCGCATCTTGTACGACAACAACTCCGGCGGCAACCTCATTCCGCAAATCCCGAGGCGAATGCAGGAGCTGCTGGGCATCTAGCAAAGCATCCGTGCTGTCCTGTAAGGCCCGGTGGCGCACGGTTTTAATGGGCTCCCCAATCTGACGGAAATCCCACGGGATAGGGAGCTCATCGACAGGCCGCCTGAGCTCTGAAAGCACAATTTGCAGTGCCGGCAGGCCAGGGAGAACATCCGACAAAACCTGGACCGCTCCAACCTGAAAAGGCGCGTCAGAGAGCGCCAGCGCAACAACATCATGCAAGCTGGCGCCCGGCGCACATTTTTCGACAAGCACATGTCGCACATGGTCAAAGACCGTAAAGACCGTGGCCTCGTCGGATCCGCTTTGTCCGCCCCATGCAAACCGCGAGAGAGGGCCCTCGAAAATCGGAGCAGCTCTCTTGTCAACGGGGGACACCATAATGGAGTCAGCTCTAAGCAGTGCTATGGAACCGGGCCGACGCAACAAGGGGCCTCGCGCAGCTTTCCCGGGAATTCCAGCCGGAGGCGCGAGAGGCGCACGACAAGGCGTCCCCAAGCACTGATTCTCTCTATCATGCGGCTTGGCCAAAACCTCCGCAGAGTCGGAGGGGCGAGTTGAAAGGTGAGCAAGGTTCGACATGGAACCGTCCTTGGACTCACCAGAAAATGCAGTGCACACCCCCATTGGCGGCACATGCTGCGACAGGGACAGCTGACGACAACCAGCAACCGGACCTGAGGAGCCGCACGCCTGGCAGGTGGTAAGGCGGAGGACTGGCGCGGTGCTAGCAACACGATGCTGCACACGCTGCGACTGGGAGTATGGAGGCAGCCTATCACCTGGGCGAAAGGTAGCAACTTCGTCCTGCGCCCCATCCCTAAAGTGCACCTTGCTATGCGAGAGGGGCCTTTCAGCAGATGAAAAAGGCGGAAAAACAACTGTACAAGCACACGTCTCTGCCTGCCAGCTCTCAGCCGGACGACCATGTCCGTGACCCACCCGGTCCTGTCCTACTCGCACTGGCCGTCCTGTTTCGTCAGAGACATCAGGAAGCCTGGAACTCTGGAACACAGGACCAACCGTGCTTTCGGCAAGGGCACGGGGCATCACGCAAATGGCCTCCTCACGTGATGACTCCAGTCGGGGATCCCAGACCAGAGAAGTAGAAAACTGGACGTCGTACCGAACCTCGTGCTGTAGGAGAAGAGCTTGCATCTGCGCCCGCGCCGGGAGCACAAAAGAAGGATCCATCCACACAGTACTGTACGAACATCTTGTGTCGGTGGGGAAAGTTTCCCGAACCGAAAAACGCCCGAGGGAGCGGTCACTCTGGTAACCATCTATCCTCAGGCCTTGCCAGGGACTGCTGCAGGTGGTGGCTTGGTAAGCACTGGCTGCATTTCCACAGAGCTGCCCGGCGAGGAAGACGATATTTCCGCAGTAGCTGGTCCAGACAACCCAGCCTGTCCGCCTCGTCGGGGTGTACGGGATCCCTCGCGTTCCCGCTGGCTGTTCTGCTCCGCGAGGTCCTTGCCGGCTTTCTCCTGAGCTTGCTTCAATGCAGCCACGAGTTGAAACGCCGACTGTTGCTGCTGCTGTCTCCGATCGTGCCGTTCTTGCTCTGTGGCAATAGCCTCGTCCACCTTGGCCTCGGCAAGCTCCACCGCATCCAAAGCATCCACATCCATGGCTGTCTTCGGCTCTGGTGTGATGCCTTTGTTGGCAAGCTTGGCAAGGCTCGCCGTTGCCTCCTGCAGCTTGCCCCCCCACATCCCCTCCTGCTCGTCCATGTCTGCCAGGGCCTTGCCCTGCTCCTCGACTTGCTTCGCGACAAGCGTGGTGAGGTCGGTGATGTACGTGTTCCAGGTGGCCAGGAAAGCCGCCCGTCCTTGCCGAATCCGCTGGAGCTCCCGACGAGCTGTGGCCTGAGCCGAGACGGTGCGGTGGAGGCTCTTCGTATGGTCCTGCACCTCCGTCCGGCCCTGGGCAGCCAAAATTTCTCGCACGCCTTCTGGCAGCAATTCCTGATGCTGCCCCAACGCCTGTACCAGCTTCTGCAGCATCACTCGATCTGGGTTCGCATCCGTAGCGGGGGCAGTGGTCTGCTCCCGCACTGTCGAGGAGGTAGGCATGGAAGGCGGTACAGGCAATGCCTGTAGACTTGGCGCTGCTGGTTGGGGGGGGGGGCGGCGCACCCTTTGCCACAGGCGCTTCCAGCCCCTGTTGCCCCTTGCCAGCTCGCTTCCTGGGTGATCTCGGTCGCCTCGGTGATGCCGGTGACTGCCACACTCCCTGTGGTGGCCGCCACGGTGCTGCTTGACTGGCCGAGCTCGACCAATACGTAACTTTCTGCCAGTGGGAACCACATCCACCGCAGAATTCTTGATTTCCTTTGTTCTGGCATTGGCACGTCCCGCAGTGCCACGGCTGAAGCTTTCCCGAGGCCGGCATCTCTTCGGCTCGTCCTCGTAGAATAGCCCTTACGCGGCCCGGCAACACACTTTGAGAGTGATGCCCTTCGAGCCGGCGGCAGGCAATGTCCAGCTCCCCCAAAGATGGCTCGTTCGCCCCGACCACAAATTGGCGAAGCAATGTCCGAGCCTGAGTGCGAAGTCTGCGCGCACGCCGGTGGTGCGCGGGCTCCTTGAGTCGCCGGCGCAATATAATGGCACAGTATCAGCAGCCAAAGGCCCCAAAACCGACTGGCCATACACCTGATCCAAGAACAAGAGCTCGTGGAGGAGGATCAAAACTGTACCAAATGTGTGGGCAAATAAAATTTGCAGCCAAACAGTAGGTAAAGGGGCGGGGTCTAGCCTCACCGCCCAAGTCCAGATATCCAAAGGAAAATCCAGACCGAAGACCACGCAGGTGGGCCCGAAAGCAGCCAGCAGCGAGTCCAGTACGGCGGGGCACAGCCTCTCCGCCAAGTGTCGCCACGGGGGATTACACGCCCCAGACGAAATATCGTGGGCAAGAAATGCCACACTAGGGTCAGGCCAAGACTGGACCACTAAGGGAAACTACAGTCTCAGCCGAAACGCCTGCTTCTTGGGGTTTAGGGTTTAGGGTTTCAGGGGCAGTGTTCAGGGTTTAGGGTTTAGGGGGCAGCTGTTCAGGGTTTAGGGTTTAGGGGCAGCGGTTTAGGGTTTCGGGTTTAGGGGGCAGTGGTTTAGAGTTTAGGGTTTAGGGCTTTTAGGGTCTAGGGCTTACGGTTTAGGGTGACATCGGGCTGCGGAGCTCGGATCGAGGCCTTGAATCACAAAGTTTGGTACAGCAGGCCGAAGTTGGAGTAACTCTTTGAAGGAAGCCTTTTAAAGGAGCGCTCGAAAGGAACCTTCTTATTCAAAGACTTATCATCCAGTTCCGACGTACGGGTCCTCAGTGAGACAAGAGCTCCTATAGAGGTTGGTGGTAGCAAGACCGAGCCCGCCAGGACCGTCAACTAGGGGTATATGGTCCCGCAATGTCCGAAACAATACTGCAGGGTCAGGGTGCATGGAGGGGTCCAGGCAGATTGCGTTTGTTTAGGGCCTGTTTCGGAAACTTGCCGTCAAGGTGCAGCCATCCACGGCGACAAGGGCCAGCGTGAGCGTGAGCATGCCACTCGCCTCCCTTTCCCACTCTGATGCATCAACTCAGTCGGCGTCTAGGGTTGCAGGTTTGGGTATAGCGGTTTAGGGGCTTAGTTAGTACTGAGGGAGTACACTGTACACTTTTTTGGATAAGACTATCCCCGATAGAGCTGACGCTGTTGTGGGCTTATGAACTCAGGTAGGAAGGTTTTGGTGCAGGTCTTTAGGAATTTAGGTTTCGGGGTTAGGGCTTTAGTATAGGGAACACGTCATGACCTGAGGATTTCTTGGGGTTCTGGGGTTAGGGTTGGGGGTCTGCGATTTAGGGTCTAGGGTTTAGGGTTCTGGGATTTTTGTTTTCTTAGTCCCCCCGCCCCTATTCAAAATACAGATAGCAGCAAAGTAGGTTGTACCATGGCATGCATAGGATAACCCGCTTAAGGGCTCACGTCCTCTTAGCTCCAAGTTGTGTATCTACTTGTCCAGGCCTCCCGAACCAAGGAAGACAAGGGCATCAGTTGCCTCGGAGAGAACCCCCGCTGGAGTCATTTGTGCCTTTCGCTCACTGAAACCCTAAACACTAAACCCTAAACCCCTAAACCCCTAAAACCCTAAACCCCTCCCCCCCCCCACCAACAAAAAAAACAAAACTCCAGACCTTAGCGACCTGTAACCTTTGGCCTAAACGCACTTGCCATCAGATGTAGTAGCCGTGATTTACTCAGGCTACTACTACGACTACTACGACTA